TCAGATGAAATCATATGTCATGTAATATGTGGGACAATATTTCAGCTAGTGATTACTCTCGCGACTAAAGAAAAAATCGTTCAAGTGTTGGTTGTCCAAAAAACTTAATTATTTAGTATCCCGAAAATTATGTTTTTTAATAAGCATGAATAGCTATAAATTGAAGATATATTGCATTTACATTTTAAACAATGCATTTTATTATTGCAGTAATAAAAAACGGAGTCAATGTTTAAAAACTTATTTAATTTTCCAAAATATAGATTCAATAGACAGAATCTGTAGAAAGATATATCCAAAACGGTGAGAGGGCTTTTTGTCAGAGCAAAAGCTTGTCGATAAATGATGGAAATTGAAAATAGATATATGTTGTTACGTATAATATGCATTTTTAAACCTTGACTCCGTTTTTTCGGTACAATACATTTTTTCAATTTAATTTTATTTATATTTATACATAGATGTACCTCGAGACTCTTATTGACCACTGACTTTATCTATTTTAAAAAACTTATCCAGTTGACGCCACTTTTTTCATCTTTAAACGACGAAACTAGAAAGTTTCGACAACTATCATGTAAAGGAGACGTAATTTTTAATAATTTATTTAATGTAATATATTGTCCAACCTTTGACATAGTTTCTTCTGCTTATTACAAAAATATAATTTTCGAGTTACTAAATAATTAAATTTTTTGAGCAGCCAACACTTGAATGATTTTTTCTTTTGTAGCTTAGAATGTCGACTTTAAGATATTGAAACATATTTTTCCTTAAAATATTTTTGCTTTAGAATGTGTTTTATAAAAAGAACATATATAGAATATTCTATCAACATTTATTTAAATATGAAACATCAAAAGGAATAATGAAATTGAGACATAATGTTGGAATATGAAAAATATCCCACGCGAATAATTATTAATTACGTTTAAAAGAACCATGCAAGTAATATAGTATTGAACAAGTGCCAGAGATGCCAAAAGCAAAGCGCGAAATGTACTACGATAATAAGTACAAATAATTGAATAAAGATTAATAATTGAATAAAGATTATGTAAAAAAAACCACTCTAGTAAAAACCTCTTTTTTACTTCTTGCCTTTTGACATAACATTGTATAATTAATACGAAATATTTGAAATAATAAAATAATATGTTCCACCAATGTATAACAATGTAATAACAATGTAAAAGATGGGGTATCGTATTCTAATAAATAATTACCCGGAGCTCGACAACGATCGCGAACGTTCATCGACAAGATCGTGAGAAAATTAAACTGCCACACGCATTGTTTTACGCACGATCAATTCCGCGTCGTTGAACAAGCATCGCCGACACTTGTCGTACTCGCGCGTTTGAATTGACGAAATTCACGACGAAAGACGCTATACGTTTGCGCGAGCAGCCGTGCTATGAGTCGCGTGAATCCCCTAAAACAGCGTCACAACGCACACAATTTTCGACGGACTGTATGACTTACTGACTAAAATACGATCTCGAATGGTAAGACGACACATAATGAGTCAAAAATGAAACGCGTACCTGACAAATCCGATCCAATTACTCAGTCTTGCCTTTGTAGCCGAACGGTGAAGACGGAAAGCCATGTCGAAAAGAAACGCAAGATTCTCACCTCATTTAGCCTCCGATATTCCGCGAACGCGGCTAACTTCGCGATTCCACTGTGCTCGATCGCAACGAAAAGCACGAAAGAGGCGATCGAGAACATTCGTCGACAAGATCGCAAGTAAATCCGACTTCCGCACGCATTATCTCACGCACAAACAATCCCTCGTCGCTGCCGGAAACGAATATTGCACGTACTTGTCGCGAACGCGTATTTGAACCGGTGAGAATTCAACTACGAAGGCGGAAAGACGACATATCACGGCATGGCGATCGTCTACTGCGCAGGCGGCCGTGCTCCGAGCCTCGTCTATGTCGTCTTTCCGCCTTCGTAGTTGAATTCTCACCGGTTCAAATACGCATTCGCGACAAATACGTGCAATATTCGTTTCCGGCAGCGACGAGGGATTGTTTGTGCGTGAGATAATGCGTGCGGAAGTCGGATTTACTTGCGATCTTGTCGACGAATGTTCTCGATCGCCTCTTTCGTGCTTTTCGTTGCGATCGAGCACAGTGGAATCGCGAAGTTAGCCGCGTTCGCGGAATATCGGAGGCTAAATGAGGTGAGAATCTTGCGTTTCTTTTCGACATGGCTCGTCGAAATTATATGAATATATATTTTCGTGCGTATATTGAGTCTCATGTGTATATGTAATGTGCTTCAGGTGCAGTAAAGGGAGAAAACGAAAGCGG